GGGCAAAGCGAGTGAGGAGAAGGAGCTGTGGCTCCTGGGATGCTGCTGGCAGGGAAGTTATTCCTGGCCTCCACTTTTGGACTGTGTCCTTGTCCGAAAATGCAATTACGCAACAGTTGCCCATCAGATTGCAACCCTGGAGTCCAAATGCAGCTCAGCTCCCTCTTTCGCATTTTTCAGGTGCAAGTTTAAAAGCTTCTAAAAGAAAAACCAGCAAACCAAAACATCAACAAAAAAACAACCCCAAAACAACCAACCAACCCCCAACCTGCAAATTAGAAAGTCAAAAGACTGTTGTTCTCTCAGGGTGGTGCATTCCTGATCAGTGCTGGGAGGCCAGAAATGGAAACAAATGAAAACTGCAATGCATCAATTTAAGTTGTAAATGTAGCATCCAGTTAGCTTAAATATTTCCAAATAATTGTCAGTAGAGTGCTGTGAAGTTAACCTAGCAAAAGGACAAAACATTTGGCAAGCACTGCATTTTGACTCTTCTGTGGAGGACTTTATGGCTCAGAAAACAGCTGAAATGGAGCCTTGGCTAGAACCCAGCTTGGATTCTCTGTGGTTATAGCAAGCAGAGATGGTCATCTACAGTGTATACTTGGCACCCTTTCTGGAAGCTGTTTTTTCTTCTTGGTGGACCAAAATGTATATCAAAAAGTTTTTGTTGTTACAAAAAACTAATAAAATTGATCCAAAGAGTGTTTTTATTATTCTTATGATATTGTTCTTCTTGATACTTGTCTCATATTAATAGAGAAGTATGACTGTTGCTTGGACGATTATTATAGTATAGTTCAAATGCTACCTCTTCGGTAAGGCTGTACCCCAAAAGAATAATAAAAACAACCTGGAAGCCCTAAAAAGGAGGAGAGGCTTCATAAGAAGCTAAAATGGCTCATGAAAATAAACCATATTTTTCCAGTGGTTTACTACAATTGTCATCACTAACAAGTGTTTTTATTTTTAGTATGTTGTGGTGAGTGTTCTGTAGCTATTTTATGCAATAGCAATTTAGAGTAGGGATGAACATACGCCAACATATTGCATCCAGTCTTTTTTTTTCCTGGAGCTGGAGCTATACAAAAGGCATTAGTTTTTTTCCTGACACATGCCTGTTACTCCCATTACATTAATGGGAGTTGCATGGGTACTAGGAAAAGAATATACTTCAAAGGCCTGCTCATCTGATTGTGAACACAAATGATTTATTGCCCCAGTGAATGACAAGGAGTCTTGGAAAGTGCTGTGCTTCTTTATATCATTTTCTGGCTTGGAGTCATACATTTATGCGCTTGAATTACAAAAGGTGTGAGAATTCAGCTGGGTTTTTTTCTATTAAAAATCACCTGGCTTTAAACAAGAGGAAGAAGCAGCTATGATGTCGTGAATTCTTTCAACAGATACAAAGCAATGGAGCCTGACTCGTCCACTTATATAAATGCAATATTGATATTACAATCACTTTAAATAGCTATGCCCCTTATTCAACAAAGCACTTAGAGATGTGCTTAAATCTATCAATAGTCAACAAGTCATATGAGAGTAAACCTAAAAGGTAACTCCTGTGATTAAATCTCACTAAGCAGACAGGATTTGAGCAAAGTGCTTACTGTTGAATGCTTTGCTGAACGGGGGCGGATTTCGTTAAATGTCACCTCTTCATTATTAGACTGGCATTTTATAAGCTATCAACAACTTTAAAAGAAAGTTCTCTTATAAAATACCAGTTCAGTGTGGGAAGCATTAGAGTACAGCTCCCATTGAAAATCTCCAAACACACTGAATTCAGATCACATTTACTGTGCTGTCTTTGGAAAATATTTTTTTTCTTTTGCAGAAGTTTGAGGTTTTCTAGAAAAAAAGGAAATAGTTTTTTAAAGCTGCATTTTCTGTTTGATTGAATTTCACATTGTAGTTGGCTGTACCCTGTTTTTGCACAGCAAATAATACAAAAATTGTTAGTGTAACTTTTTCCTTTTTGGGAGCAGTGGGCAACACGGATGTAAACTTCTGTTTTGTTCATGTTTTGTTTTCTTTACTTCTCTTTCCAGTAATGTTGAATGTATAAAACTCTTGCAAAGCAGTGGAGCAGATTTTAATAAGAAGGACAAATGTGGGAGGTAGGTAAATTATGAAGCTTATTTCAAAAAGAAAAAAAAAAATCTAGCAGGCAAGGAGGAAAGACCACCTCTGTCTGGAAATCATATGTGCTATGAAAAATTACAGTAAAATAAAGTAGGAGTTTGGCCTTCCCTGCAGAACTCTTGCTGCTGCAGTTATATGCCAGACAGACAGGTGCAGACTTCATTAAAGACATAAAAGCCATCCCACCCTCTCGAGTTTTCTATTTTAAAAATATCACAGTTTTCTTTTTTTTTTTTTTCCTCCTTATTGCTTCTGTTATTGCCTAAATTCTTGTGGTTGTGTGTCCAAGACAGCACCAGGGTTATGATGTGAGGATTGCTGCTATTTGACATGCTTCCTAGGGTTTTTTTTCCCCATGTGAGGTGTTGCTATGAGTGTTGCTATACCAGCTAAATAAGACGCTGTGAGGGACACCGTGCTTTGCTGTGCCTCCCAACTGGAAGAAAGTAGCATGTATGCAGAGCAACAGCAGAGGCTGTCACTGGGAACAGGTTGTTTGCAAGACACAGATTGAGGATCTGTATCCTATTAGGCTATGTAGGAGCACCAAAACTTCCTATTAACACAATATTTTGTTAAATTTGCATAACTTTGCATTTCATCACAGGAACATAAGGCACTGATATTGACTGCTGGAAATCTGTAGGAATGCAGCAATTAAGATTTGTCATTATCCTCTGTGGTGCATATTGGAATATGAGGTAACAAATTGTCACTTATGTTCCAGGACACCTTTGCACTATGCAGCTGCAAATTGTCATTTCCACTGTATTGAGACACTGGTAACAACAGGAGCCAATATTAATGAAACAGACGACTGGGGTCGTACCCCTTTGCACTATGCTGCTGCTTCTGACATGGACCGAAAGTAAGAAAGCCTCTTTGTATTCCTTGTTCAAAGTGTTCTGCTAAATCAGTGTCATTGTATTCTCTTCATGATGCTATGTCATTTGAGCCAAAAAAATGATCCCACTAGCAAAGGAATTTCTCTCAGATGTATGCATAACTCCACACTGAGTTGCTCTGACTATAAGCCAAATCCCCAGATGATGTGGCATTTCAGCTCTATGGTTTACCTTTGATATAACACACAGTTTTGCAGCCACCTTGTCCTACTGAACTATTTTCACAACATTTTGTCTTATGTTTTCCTCTGTGTGGTTTCCTCACAAGAGTAAGCTCAGAGAATTTTCTACCTCACTTTGCAAGTCCATCAGAAGGGATGGAGCAAGAGACAGCAGGAGAGGTTTTCCCACATGGACTGCTGTGACAGACAAACATCTGGCTGTTCTGACAGGCTTTCAGGAAAAGATGGGATAGATCTACCCATCAGTCTCTCACCACTGTCAGAGATGATAAAAATGCTCACCCTGTCCAAACAGGTTGCTTTTGGGAGACATTAAAAAGACAGAGGCCTGGGGAATATCCTTCAGCAGGTTGCAGTGCTATTCTTGTGAGAAAGGGGGAAAACAGCTGCAAAACTTAGAAATCCTGTGGTTAGTGATTGCAATTTCTAATTCCCAGATAGTTGCATATTTTGGCAATCTCTTCCTTATACTGTATAAAACAGGTTCAATTATCCTGTTAGTTTTCTCTTAAAACTGTTAGCGACCTGTATTTATTTTAGGTCATTGCATGCTTCTCTGTCTCATTCCTTTAGACACTAAGGAACTATTTTCTTGGTTCCTCATATAGTGAGGTCTGGTAAAAATATATCTGGCTCATTCCCAGAAGAATACCACCTCAAAGCCACTGCAGGAAAACTTTGGCTTAACTTGATGGTAGAGGTTTGGATGCCATACCAGAGCCTTGGTAGTTTCTTCATTATTTGCTGTGATAATACTGATATAAAAAATGTTTTCCCTATCGCCCTCAAACCTGAACAGTGCTGGGAAGAAGGCGGCAAGATCTTCAAAGGTCTGTGCTTGGCATTACAATTAGAGTAGGCTTGTAGGAAGGCTTTCACCACTGGCTGTTTCTAATTCTGTCTTGCTAGGGTGCATTGCTACTTGGGATGTTGAGACTTGAGATTCCGTGTATGTTTTTCACATTTTTGGCTCTTCATAGGTTAATTTCCTGCATTTAAACAAGCTTTTGGTTAACTTAAGGATGTATCTACTCCCATCGTTAATTAAAAAAAAAAAAAAAAAAAAAAGCTTGCTTTAGTCACATCCTGAACATTGGCAGGAATATGTGGCCTATATTTGCCCTCATAGTCTAAACCTAAATTGATTCTGATGTGGTGATGCTGTCTTCTCATTAAATTTTCCAGTTTGAGATGTTCTGGAAGAAGCCTTATTACATAGATGAAATGCTATTTGCAGTCTGTGATTTTATAGGTCAGCGTTTTTTTTTTTCCTGCTAAATGGCAAAAAACTCCCAAGGTCAGACAATCTCAGTCCAAAGAATATTCGTGATTATTTAACTTTGGATGTGGGCAGTTAATGAGCAGGGAGAAGAAGTCTTCGTGCAGTAAGGTTGCCCTGCTGTTTCAGCTATTTTGGTAATTGTTGTTGCTTATGGTGTTCAGAAAGTACCCTTTCCTGCAATCAAAATCACAACAGCATTTTCATTAGATAGATGATTGTAGTTCCTAAGTATGTACTGTTTCTCCAGATCATCACTTATTCTGTTCAGGGAATCTTATTTTGGGATCTCACTGATTCGTAGTTAACTGAAAGCAGATGCAGGTAGGACTGCAGTGTCATACATGAGTTCTGTCTATGAGCTTATGATGTTAATATTCAGGGGAGTTATTTTATTAATAATGAAGTTTTCTCTGAGTCAGCAGACATCAGAGAGACTCTGGGTTTATAGAACAATCCATTATTGCTAGCACCCACAGGAAGAAGGTCAAATCTTGATGTGACAAATGGGAAGTTGCGTATTAAAGAAAGCATATACTGTTCTGCATTGTGCAGAATCCACTCTGGAATTTGCACGTTATATTGGGATTGAAATTAGCAAACTGCCCTTCTACAAACCTTTCAAGCTGCTAATCCATGATGATAGCAGTTTTAAAATGTATTCTGTGTTAGCCTTGGTGACCAAGAAAGATGGTAATCACAAGCTCATGATTGTAAGATCACAAATCAGAGTCTTCTGTCTGCCATCCATCCATCTGGGAAGCAGAGGTGTCAAAAATGATCTGGGTGTGCAGGAATATGAAGACATGTTGAGCTCTTTGAAGAATCTAAAGAATCTGACTGAGATCTGCAGTGTTGCCAAGATATTTCACAGAAAGTGAGGAAAGTCAGCAACGCAGCTAATGTAGATTCAAGAGAGACCGATTTAGTACCAGTGATTAAAGTTTCTCTAAATCCTAAATGCCAGAGAAGAACTAGCAGGTTACTGTAGGAAGAAGCAAGCTGTGGTAATCCTGAGTTCCTCTCTGCAAAGGAAACAAAATGCACAACATTGCTGTGGGAGAAACGGAAGGATTCTAGAAAGTGATGATCAAACTGTTTCTGAGAGAAAACAGAATTTTCTGGGTTTTTTTTTTTTTTTTTCCTGGCATTGACTTGCGGGACAATAAACTACCATGTTGTAGTTGTCTCCATAGCTTGCAAAACTTATTAGCTGTGGACCCATGCAGTACGCTCATTTAACTTGTATAATTCTTATTGTTGGCTGGAGGAGGTCAGCTCCTTGAAGAGGAGACTGGGGATGGGTGGCAGACTGCGTCAAAATCACTGGTATGATATTTTGACAATAAGTTGCATTTTTCTGTCCTCTATGCTAAGAAGAAAGAATATTTTAGGTAACTCCCATGAAAATGCTGAAGAACTTGAAAGAGCCAGTGAGATGAAGGAAAAAGAAGCTGCATTGTAAGTTTGGTGTCAATAAAGCAGTTAGACTCCATTTCTGGAGAATGCCACTGCTTTGGGCTGCAGTTTACACTCTGCTTTTGCTCATTCATTACTCTGCTAACCACAATGCTTGGCTTTAATGAGGGCTCACCTGAAAAAAAACCCCGCACTTCTATGCTCTTCTCTGTGCGCATATTCCCTAATATTTCTGTTTCTGTGCTTGTTGCTATTTCTTAATTGAAAATGTACAGCTTCAGGAATTTAATAGTTCTTTAGTGTCATGCACTGACTTATTTTAATACTTTGCACTGAGTACGTATGTTGCAAAAAGAAGTAGCCAATGGCTTCCTCAATGTATTTACTCAGATTGACATTTTCGTCTAGCTGCTTAATGATTTTTTTTATTTTAAAAATTCCCTTTTTCATATGACAGCCTTACATTCACTACAAATTACAGGCTATGGAAGAAAGTACTAATAAAGAAACGATGATTTCTTGATGATGGTATAAGAAAAAGTGGCAGGAGCTGTAAAGAGCATAAGGGATCCTTTGAAAAACACATGATTTAAAAAAAAAAAGCCAACAAAGAAGAAAATATATTTATGTATGTACATGCCAGGAAATTAACTCAGTTAAGTCTTTATTTTCAGCTTGCCATAGTGCATGTTTGGAGGCCAATTGTTTGATCTACGTTTTTATGTTTTAGGCTGTTTACATCATGGTACAGAGTTGTGTAGTTTTCTTTCAGGCTTTATAATAGAAAATAATTTTGTAATTTAGAGTAACCACAAAGGCTGGATTGAAGACTATTTTTTATGAAGATCTTCACAGATGAGTGGGGATTTTCTGTTTTAAAAAATGGTGAATGTGGGGAGCTATTGGTGAAAAGAGGGAAACTTGTAAGTGATTTGTGGTGCTACTAGAAATACAGAATTAACTGCCAGTTTTCAATGCCACTCCTAGTTGCAGTGAGGGATGAGTCTGGTAAATATTGTAAGCTCTCATTTAAACGAGTGAATTGTCCACAGGTGTCTAGAGTTCCTTCTACAAAATGATGCCAATCCATCCATCCAAGACAAAGAGGGGTACAACACTGTGCATTACGCTGCTGCATATGGGCACCGCCAGTGTTTGGAGCTGGTGAGTGCTCATACAGTTCAGAAGTCTCTTATCTGCTGATATATGTATGTGTATATGCTAGTATTATGAAATCCCCTGATGGTTACTATTTGAGTTCTTTGGATATTCATAAATCTGTGAAAAGCTGCAATATGGTGCGGTAAGCTCAAATATATGCAACAAGGGGTATCTTAAAAACATGTTAATCTTGATAATCCTGTCCTTGTTCAACAAGCTGGTGCTTAAATGTTGTCTTTGAGTGGAGTTTATGTGTGCTCAAATTATTTTTAACTGTGACCAAAATATTCCCAGTGTATGTGTATGTGCCAGTAATAAGGGATAGTTCCCAGTGCGTGACTGTGTATGTGCCTTCTGCAGCTGGCACATTATCTGACTTGCAAACTGAGAGAGTAAATAGCTTTTGTCAGCTACATACCTGCAGTGCCTTTTTCCCCTCTGGTGAAACAATAGCAGCATCGATAAAGTTACCATAATCAAGATTAACCTTGTATGCAATGTAACTGGGGGTTTTTGTTGTTTTTTAATATCCTGGACCTGAATGATTAGAAATTGCATCTCATAAGAAGCCAATTTTTTTTTTTTTTGCCAAAAATTGGATTTGGGAGATGTGTAGTATGGATTTATAGAAGTTTGTGACTTGTAAAAATAAGCGTCATGAAGATGGGCATTAACTGAACTGCTTGATATACAGGGTGATCCAAACTTATTGTGTCACATATAAATAGGCTTTAATTGCTTTAAAAACAAAAGCTCTAATTAGCAAATTGTATAGATATTCATGCTTTAGTAAGAACACTGTGTGCTGTTTAGTGTTTTATGTTGTTTGGTTCTTTCTTTCTCTGTTGAAGAGTCAAAGTCCTTAATTATTGAAAAGGAGCTCTGCACAGCACATGCTGCTTTCACACCACATTTACCAGCACTGTCAGTTACTGCCACCACAGGAGAAATACTGCAGCTGGCCTACATCAGGGTCACAACAGCTAGGAAACCTTGGCCTGCAATTACACCAGGGCAGCCCTGGGTCAGAATCTCAGGTGGGATGTTAAGCCTTTTTAGCTTCCACCTGCAAGTACGTGTATTTACGACACTTAATATCACTGCTCCTTTGTTGCTTGTGGCAGTGAGTTTGACCTTTCCTTGTTTAGAGCCTTCTCCTAGAGCTGAACTCTTGTTACTCTGCCCATGGGGTTGGAGGGGTCCTCTGCTGAGCCTGCTGCCCATTTGGAACAAAAGCAAATGTTCTTGGTATTTGTAGGGTATATATATAGAGTAACCTCCTCTGTGCTGTGTACAAGCTTATGCTTGTATGGCCACAGCAATGTGTATTGCAATCTTACCCGTGTCTTATCACCAGATTCTTGCATGACTTGCGTGACCAGAGATCTCTGTGACAGCATCTTCACTGGGGAATTCTCTTTCAGCCTTCATATCACAGTTCCTGTGTGCCATGAGGCGTGGAGCAGGCATGAAGTAAAGTCCCCTCTCTTTTCTTTTGCTTGTTGCTGTGCATGTTTTCTGGCAATGTATCCGTTGCAGACAATGACCTGCTATTGAGCCCCAGGGCTGCTTAGGCTTGCCAGACAAAAGGAAGAGCTGGAGATGCAGTGCATATCAGAGATGTTGGGTTTTCTTTTAATATTGGAAGGTGAAATGCAAACTGTGGCTAGAGGCAGCTGTGCAGCAAGTGTTCTATATTTGGACAGAGAAATTCAATGTTTTTCCATGCCAATCTTCCCATATTTGTGACTACAGCTGCCATATAGAAACCCAAGATCAAGTGTCATTTGCAAAGTTATAGTCATACAGCTGTTCTATGTACACCTGTGAAAGAAAACTGCTACGAATTTTAGCCTTTTGCATGCAAAGGGCCACTGTTGTGTACTAGGGTGTCTACCTGAAAGTTTTGAGGGACCAGGATTTTGCCATGGGTGCTCAGAGGTTGACAGGCATCTCATTTTTCTCTCTGGAATACAAAAGCTAAACATACCAGAAAGCATTTGCGCTCAATCAACAGTAGGACCAGGACTTGTCAGCTTTGCACCCACTGTCAGAAGAAGGTGATTCTGTTCTGTTCATGGGAGCAGTTGTCCCTTAGCTCTAGTGAGTTACCGAGTCCTGAGTTTAATAACTTTATATTTGATAACAGTGACTAACTGATACAGGCACCACTTTTACACTAATTTTTTTGCATTGCTTGGATTCAGGATGGCAAAAGGGTCAGGACCAAAGTCTTGAGTAGCTGAACGGTAATTGTGCCATGGGCATGAAATGGAAATAATCCTCATGTCTAGGTTTACTCACTTGTTCCAACATAAGACTCCCAGGTATTAAGACAATTGTTGATTCCTGTGCTTCATCTGATAAAGTAGTGTCATCTATAGACGTCTCTATCCTGTAATGCAATCAAATTGGTTTTGACAGTTATGGTTCTCTATGGCTATTTGAAGGCTGTGTGTAAAAGCTGCAATAAGAATTCATCTGGCACAGATGGAAAGGAGCCTCACTGTCTTGTGAGGCTGACTGGTGGCTGGGTCACAGTTTGTTGTGCTCTCTGTGGTGGCCTTATGACAAGGACTTCGTCATGAACCATGATCTTTATTTCTGGTAGCTATTAACCACAGTACATTGACTGCTCTAGTTATTCATAGTTGAATGAAGCATCCACTAAGGTTTAATTGCTTCTAGGCATGACTTTTATCTAGAGGCCCCTTCTTTTCCACACAGCAGAGAGAACAGTAAGTCATCAAATGCCATCTTAGTCCTCAAGCCTTCTGTATCAGTTTTGAAAACTAAACCAACAGAGATCCAGAAAATTGGCAACGCTGTTTGCCTTGTTTCTGTCTCCCGAGTGGCACGGGGCTCTCCCCAGTAATGGTGGAGGCAGCTGCAGATTCCAGTTAATGCTGCAGGTTGACTTGGTGGGTTAGCGTATAGAGTAGGTGTGTGAGGACAGCTGGTTATGTCTGAGGAATACTTGGCTGGTTTTGTTGCTGTATCTTAGAAATACATTTTTCTTGTTTTTCTTGTCTTCAGTGCTAATGAAAAGGAAAATAATATTCACAGTATTTTCAGTTGCTTTTACTCAAGAAACAGTGGGAGCCCAGCAGCCCTAATTCCAATGTAAATACGTCTGTAGATAGGCAGGGAAGTTTTTTATTTTGGTTTCACATGTGCAATAACAGAGATAAATCGATGTCTTTCTTAAAAGCGCTAACTTCGAACCACTAATTTGTGTCACAGGAACTCTGACATACGAAATACTCCTTCTAAAATATTTCCAATCCCTTCCATCCTGAAGAAAAGATTTTCAGGCAGGATTATTGAAATAACAACATTAGTTAACAGTGCCAAATTAACTCTTATTTAACTGTTTTATCCTTGGGTAAATATTTTGGTTTATTATTGATAGCTCATAGATGAAAGTATCTAGGAATTATCTTCCCTAGAACAAAGACAGTTCTTTGTGGACAAAAAACTGTTAGAGGAAAAAGTACGCATAAAATATGAAGCTTTAATTCTGATCAAAACTAAGGCAAAGTGGGTGCAACAATGAGCTTGAGTTTATGAGTAAAGGTTACTAGTATTTCTCTACACGCACAATACTGAACTTTGGCAAAATGTTAGGGAATTGTTTCAGTGTTCCAGAATATGTCAAGTTTATAAAAGACCTTGTAAGACCAATTTTTTTCTTTCCCTCACCCCCCTGTCTTTTATAACATGTGTCTAAAATGTTTTTTTTCTTTTTTCTAAATAGATGGTCACTTAAAAAAAAAGTCTGAAGAAGAAGATGGAGTATCCAATGGAGTTTCCTTTGCTGAGGGATCTGATCTGTGCTTTAAGCACCATAGCTTCTCAGCATTAAAAAATATTTATACGTTTAAGTACGTTCAGGAAAGGCTGGTTTCTCTCTGAAAATATATTTTCATTTTTTGACTTTTGTGTTTACTGTGAGCCCAATGCCTTGGCCGGAATTTAGCTAAATTTCTTTGTGGGGAGAGGAGACCTATTAGAAGAAATAAGGATTAAGAGTGAAAAGGTCATATCCTCTGACCCAAACAAATAAAATTTGTGTTTGTGTGCTCAACCACAGAGCTCAATGACAGAAGCTTTTTTCCTGGAGGACCTTTAGGTTGTCTGGGATATTAGTGGGGTAGTTGCCCTGCAATGAGTGACGTGATGTTGCTAAAAAGAGAAGAGTGGAAGCAGATTCTTGAATTCTTTCTCCATCTGTAAGGAGCCATTCATAAAGGCTGAATGGTGGACATGTGTGCTTACAAGCAACTGAAACTCCCATCTGCTCTCCTACTTCTAAAAATAACCTCACGTTTGTTTAAATTGGGACTGACTTCTTTGGTGTTCGGTAGTCAGGGATATCGGTCATGACCGCTAGCTGGTATTTTAGAGCTGATCACATCACCAAATTAATCTGAAAAAAAGAAAAATAGGGTGGTTTTTTTTTCATGGAAATGATCTCTTATCACAAAATCCTTACTGGTGTGAAAAGAGTGAAATTTAGATTGTAATTTCACATTAAAATTCTATCTGGAGAGCCAGTCAAGCACTTTGTGCTGGTAAAAATAGGTTTCTGTGCAGTGTTAGGGCAAACAGAATTAAATGTCTGTCTCCTGTAGTGAAATCTCTTCTCTGACTTTAAGAACTGATGGTTATTTTTTCTTTTAATCCGCTCTTCTCTTTATTCCATCAGCAAATGAAATTCACTCTTTGGCTAATAGAAATTGAATCGGCACAGGGACTAATTCATTTGAGGATGGGAGGAGAGCATGGTTTAACTGAAAACCGTGTCCGAAAGAAAAGGCAAATCTCAGTCTGCCTGCCTGAAGGAGGGTGATCTGCACAGCTGTCTGTGTCAGGGAAAAGGGGCAGAGGGAGATTTCCCGCTAGCAGAAGGCCATCCTAGCTGTGCCGTGAAAGGGGAGGCTGTGTTTGAAGAGAAGGAAATCACCTTTTATTAGACCTGCCGTTACCGCTGAAAATAGTTA